GTCCCAGCGCACCCGCCGCCCGCGCGCAGAGGTAAGCTTGGGGCGAGCCGCCCCGCGTCGTCGCCGCGTCCGCGCCGGTCCCCACCGCCTCCGCCCAGGCGAACCATGGAGTTTGCGCTCCGTCCCGCCGCCCCACTTGTAGAGGCGGGCTCCTGGCCGCTGCCCCGGCCGCAGAGGCAAGGCTCCCGCCAGCCCCTCGAGTCAAGGAGTAGGTTGGGGAAGCTGGACGAGCACGGAGTCCCCAGGGTGGGCTAGGAGAAGCCTGGACAGAAGGGGCGCGTAGAGAAGGATGGGGCACGAGGAGAGCCTCGCAGGGGTCAGCGGCAGCGCCTCTGCCCCCAGAACTCCGGGGTTTGCAGACTCTTTTTTTTTTTTTTAACTAGAGGGAAATGAGTAATTTGGGTACCGAGGTGCGAGGGGAGGATGACGGTGGAAGCTTAGGGTCCCAAGGGCATTCTGCAGAGAAAAGACCAGGAGATAGGTGGATGGTGAGGTTTAAGAGCAGATGCCCAAAGTTTGTACTTGTTAGGAGCTGCAAAGGGCAGCCTGGGCTAGTGAGAGCTGGTGAAGGTGTCAGCTCAGGGTGGGAGGACTCTGCGGGACGGCGGAAGGGAGGAGGGAAAAGGGAGGGGGAGGACCATCTGTTTTGCCTCTGCTGTGTGAGGGCCTTGGGATGAGGGGAAGGCTAGACTGAGGTCGCTCATGCTTTGCTTCCTATGGCTCTGGAGGACACTCTGATGGCGAATGTCCTGGGTCCTTCAAGGAAAATAAAATGCCCCTGCCCCCATGAGCACAAACAAACATTTTTGGAATGGCCTCAAAAGTTCCTGGATTTGGAAACATTTTCATATAGAGAGGAGGTTGGTGTTTCTTTCTGGTTTTGCTTATCTGATGCGCAGTACACGGAGGCTATTGCAAACTTTGTCACAATGAAGCAAGCAAGATACAGGGAAAAAACAGATGCCCAAATGGAACAAAAACACTTGTCTTGTGGGCTAGACTGGCAGCGTCCATACAATTTAGGAAGGGCTGAGAAATGTGTTTACTAAATGAGAGGGGAAGCGTTTCAGAAAGTTACTGAGCCCATCTCAAACGTTTAGGCTCCAGCTATCTCCCCTCAGCGTTTTGGGGTCTGCTTTTGCCTGTTTCCGTAATCCTTCAATCGTATTTTAATATCATGTGTGCATTGCGTATGGGCTGTCCTTTCCTGTCATAGATGAATGTCCTTAGAATGTAAAATACTGGCTTGCAATTTTGGCTACTTGATATATATGGTGAAAATATGTTTATTTGGACAAAGCATTGGTTGTTCAGATTTTATATTTTTCAGTAGTCAGGTATTTGTGGATTCATCAAATACACTTTTACCCATCTGCGAAAGTGATTTGAGGAAGTTTAAGGTGAAAACCACAAATCAAATGAGCTATTCTTGTAAATCTCCTTGACCTCTCATGGGTGCATTTGTAGTAAATGCTTTTGGAAAGGTGAACTCTCCAAAACAAGGAAGCATTGCTGCCCTTGCTGGCATAGGGCTGGTGATACCAGTGTTTTGCAGTATAATTCCTGAAGCATCTCATTTGCATAACATTATGTTCCAGTTACATAGATAAATGATTTAAGAGGGGCCTAATAACCACTATCATTGATATTAAGAAAAACAATGTTGTTAGCTTACAGCATTTTAACAACGTACAGATCCCCAGGACCAAAGAAAACAGTTTGTCTCTTTGAACTGAGTCAGAGAGAAACCAAATGGAGGCATTTCCTCCTCAGTCAAATTAGAGACAGAAGTGTGGTTAGTGCTTGGCACCCAACCACAGCAAATAATGAGACCCGACAGCAGTTGGAAGATATCGTCACAAAGTGGGACTGTTGTATGATCAAATGTCCTGGCTCTGGGAGTAAAGGGAATCCATCAAAGCAAACAGCTCTGAGGGATGAACATCTACATAGAATAATGCTGGGTGGCGTTGGGTACCATGAGCAAGACATCCCAACTCTGCTTTTCCCTTCTCCTCCTGACTGAGTTTGAAAATGTTACTGCCTAAACTTTTTTTTTTTTTTTTAGGATTTAAAAACAATGTTTATTTAATAAAATATTAAAGCTGCACCTCAATGCTTTTATACACAAGTATGCACCTTGCTCTGGCAGCTAAATTTTGTAATTTAAGTCACCCAGATGATAATGGTTTTAAAGACGTGAAGGGATCATGGGGAACAGCTGAAGAAATGTATGGCAGGGCTGGTGTTCCACAGAGAGTCCAATTGCAATGATGGACCTTAACAGTATTGCCAGATGATAGCCACCAGAAGCACCAACCACAATAAAATGGAAAAGGCTTGAGTCTAGAAGCTATTTTGGAAAGGAACAAAATGTAATAAATGTTCCATTTACTAAACAGCAAGTTGATTGGTTATTGAATAATGATTCTTGGGCTATTGCTTTTACTCAATTTTTGGGTCAAATTGATAATCATTCTCCTGCTGATCAATTATTACAATTTGCTCAGATGAATTCTTTTATTTTTCCTAAATTAGTAATGCAAACTCCAGTAAAGGATGCTGCTTTAGTGTTTACTGATGGCTCATCTAATGGAAAAGCAGCGTATGTAAATAGATGCATGTGACAATTGATACTTATTCAGGATTTTTGATGGCCAGTGCACAATCTGGAGAAGCCACCAAACATGTAGTTGCTCATTGCCTGAAATTTTTCTCCTATATGGGGATACCAAAAGTTATTAAAACTGATAAGGATCTGGACATATTAGTAAAGCTTTATCAATTTTGTTCTCAATTGCAAATTCAGCATAAAACAGGTATTTCTTATAATACTCAAGGACAAGGTATTGTTGAGCAAGCCCATGACTGCCTGACATATCTACCTATCTATCTATCTACCTATCTATCTATCTATCTATCTATCTATCTATCTATCTATCTATCTATCTACATGAAATGACAGTGTTTGTGTTGAAATTTCCTGACTTCTGTTTGCTTGTTTTTATTATCATCCTCTCTATACACCATTCATTATTCTTTACCATTTCCACATTTTTGTCTCTGTTCCCCATGGATCTCAATATGATGAATTTACCCAACCTTTTTCTTCTTTATTGTTAGTTTTTTTTAAATCTAATGCTTTCTCTTGATTTTCTTTGATTTGTAGATTATCTTCTCTTTTTTTGTAGATTTTATCCAGCATTGTCCTTTATTAATCTAGATTATTTCTCCCTAAAATGACATCATAGTTCGGCATGCCTCCTAAGCTTCATTTTTATACTGTGAAACCCCAGAGAGGGTCTTGTGCTGCTCTCAGGTGCCTTAAGTCTACCGTCGTCTGTTTTCTAAAACTAAACTTAAACTCCGAGCACTATCTTTCTTTTAAATGAGCAGGGGTGACTTTGTGTCAGTTTTCACATTTCTCCCAAGCACCCGGAACCTCCCGCATACCTTTTCTTTCCACACGTAATTCTTCATAAGCAGCCCCCGTTTCCCTCCCCACAGTGCCTCTCGAGAGTCTCATCCTCGTATTCTCAGTGTGGCTGCCTTTGTTCAAGCTCATCTTTTTCTAGAGACTACCACCCTCGCTGATTAGTTTGCCATCTCTTGTCTCTCCTGTGTCCCTAATGCATTTCATTCTTGCTTTGGGAGAACAAGCTGTCTAAAACTTACTCACTGGTCGACTCCTCTGCAGTGCCCAGTAACATAAACCTCGGCTCTCAGAGCGAGATCCTTGGCTGCTCGTAGGTTGCGCTCTGGCCTCATTGACTTATTTATTAAGTGAATCTGCCCTGTGCTAGGCCCAGCCTTGGTTGAGAATTTTGAAAGCCTCTGCTGATGTTCAGTGAGAGGCTGAAAGATTTTCAGTGTTGGAAACCACTGCTAGAATATCGTCTTACATGGTAGAAACAGACCCCAGCAACCCCACTGGCTTGGAGCTCCTCCGTTTAGTCCTCTGAGGTGTAGTCAGGTGTTTCCTTGCCACGGTGGGTGTAACCTGCCCTGTGCTGAAGGTGGTGGCTGTTCTAACCCACAGCAGGGCTCTGGCCTGCACCTCTGTGCTCATGCTGTCCCCTCCATCCCGAAGAGACCCTTCGTTCCCATACAGCCACCCACTTCCACCTGTCTGAGAGTCAGGGCAGTTGCTGCATGCTTCTCCATCTCCCTTTGAACTACAGCTCTGACTCCAGCAAACTCTATTACCTTCGATTTCACTTCTCTGAAGTGCCAGTCAATTACGTGTTTTCTGCATTTGTACTTGAGAGCTCTACAGTAACCTGGCCTCACCTTAGCCCGTCATTTCCTGAAAATACTTAGCCAGGGGCCTGGCCTCTCAGAGGACGTCAGTAGATAATGTAACTAGTTGGATGAAGTTCTTCCTGGTTCTGGAGTCTCAGTTTATATAACTGATATTATTTAAACACTTCAATTTGGTTCTTAGAGTAGAGGCTGTGCTTCATAAACTTGAATATGCACATAAACGTAAGTGTTATTAAGTGTAGATTCTGGTTGAGCAGGGACTTGGATGCAGCCCATGGTTCTGCATCTCTCACAAACTCGCCGGGAGCGTGGAAGAAGCTGGTGCTGGAGCCACGTTTTCCCCATGGAGGCAGAAGGTGGTGGTAAACAGGCTTGGGAGTTTGGAGCAGTGACTGCCTCTCTTGCTGACTGTACAGTTGGTGCTGGCTTCCACACTACTTCCTATCAGGAAAGGACAGATAGGGATATGTGTCCCAAGGACGAGTGGAGGGGTGGGCGTCCCTGTGTGATTTTGGTGCTACATTATTGCAACTGGACCTGACCCCATTGCGGGTTTTCTCAGGCCAGATAATAGTGCTGTGTTACACGTGCCTCATTTTCCCAGGGCTGCACATCCTGGCTCACTTTCTTCCTTACTCTGCGTTGATCCCCCCTCTCCTTGTCTTTGTGCACACTCTCTCTCTCCTTCTCCCTCCCCACCCTCTCTTGAAATTCTCTTCCGGTGCCTTGGTGGACTCACTGCCCCACCCTTTCTTCTACAGTATCCAG